AGTTCATGTTTGCCTCACCCAAGGCAATTGTACTGGAGACTGCAAAGGTATCAATATTTCATTGTAACTGGGGTGTACAGCAGAAAGTGGAAGGAACACATTAATATTGAATTCCATGCATGTCTTTAAGTAGCTTAGAAGGAATGTGCCTCTCCTTCTGGACAAGATTCTGGTGAGATGCAGGGACTCTCGCTCCTGATGAATCAGGCAGAAGTTTGCGCCTGATGTCTGTGCTGCAGTACTTGGAGATGCACGTGCCCACTTCGCCCTATGCTGCCCTATGCCATGGCTACGGGAGAGCAGCACCTTCAGTGCTAGGCTGGAGTTAATATGCAGTGAAAATACACAGGTCGGGTGCCCAGCACTGCGGCCCCTGCATTATTCCACCCTAACAATGAGTGACTTCTCCCTGCCCTAAGCTGGAAGAATAGCTCTGGTCAGACAATAGTTCTATGATAATTTTTTTTAAGTAAAAAAACATTTAAAATGGCAAGGACAGAATGGTAACCTGTTTAAAGAAACAGAACATTTGCAAATTGTATTCAACATGTGTTTGATTAAAAGCACCTTAAAAATAAAATAATGTATATTTATTCTATAATAGTCAAGTCCATTCCTCTTCCCCTTCTCAGAATTGGCCACTGCTCTAGGGGGTATGTATTAGTGTTTCTGGTCTACAAAAGTTCTGAAGGCATTGGGAAGGCACAGCTGTGAATGTGTGACTTCACAAAGCTTTCCAGCTGCCCACATTGTATTTAGCTGTAGCTCTGGAGGTAACAGGTGAAGTGGGAAATCTCTAAACCTGGGATCCTGCCACAGTGAACGGGTAAGATAGCTAATCAGCCATCGCTCCGCAGAACTGCCATTCATGATATGTGTTGTGCAGACCTCAAGGTCCTCATTTTCATTTGGCCCAATTTAGTATCAAAAATGTCCAGATATGTATAACTAAATATAACAAAAGTTATGTGTGTGTGTGACCTGTGTGTGGATATGGGTTCCCTTAATAAGGGTCTTCTCCACAAGTATATACACACACACACACACACACATATATATATATGATGAATATATATATTTCTTTTATTATTTTCAAAAAGCTTCATTGTTTTGCATTCCAAGTCCAGTATTAGTCCATCTGGTATTAATGTTTGTATAGGTTGCAAAGCAAAAATCAACTCTATTTCTTTCCCATATGTGTTTCCAAATATCCCCGAACCATTATCAGAAAATTTCCTCCCTTCACACTCAACTCTGGATGGCTACATTTGTCATAAATATGATTACCATATGATTTATTAACCAAACCGACAAAATTTGAGAGTAAAAGAGAGCATTGCTGATACACTTGTCCTTCGCGTAGCTGCAGACATCGGTTCCAGGACCACCCCTGGTCCCCATCTTCCCATCCCTCATGGGTACCAGACTCCAGGGATGCTCACATCCCTCATATCAAATAGTGCAGTATCTGCACATAACCTAGGGACATCCTCCCATATCCCTTCAGTGGTCTCCAGATAACTTGTAATACCTGATACAAGATACATACTATGGAAATAATTGTCATATTATATTGTTTAAGGAATAATGACAAAAAATAAAAGTCTGTACATATTGAGTACAGATGTAATTTTTTAAAAAGTATTTTCCTCTGCATATGTGGGTATAGAACCCAATTCAGAGGGCCAGCTGTAATTTCATTAGGATAAAAGGCATAAATAGAATACAGTGTTTTTGGCAAAGCGTAGTGGTATCCTACGTATCAGAAAGCATGGTGCATAGTACACGGGGGCTACTTCTAAGCTCTCAGTTCTGTTCCATTTCTGACTATCTCTGAACACAACTGCTATAGCTTATCTCTGCAGCTTCAGAATAAGTCTTAGTTGAATTCCGTTCTCTTACCTGATTCTTCTTCCAGATTGTCTTAGACAGTCCTCGGCTTTGTTATGGTTGTGTCTAGATGTTCCCCCAAGCCTCATGCAGTCATAGCTGCGGCTGTTTCAGAGGTGGCTGGATATAAAGTATGTGACCAGGGACTGATTCACTGTGCAATGCTAGGGTTAAGGGACTGGGATTAAGGGTGTGAATGCTACCTGCCCTAAGTAACCTAGGTAAGATATAGGGGTTAGAAAGAGCGGTGGTAATCCCTTGTTGCTTTGCTACCTTCTGCCCATCATGAACTGCTTTTCCTCCGCAATGCCTATCTTGCATGCCACCCTGCCTTGGAGCCAGCTGATTGTGGACTAAAATCTCTACAGACTGTGAGCTAAATAAACCTTTTCCCCTGTAACTTTGTGTGTGGGATACTTTGTCTCAGCAAAGAGAAAGAAGTAACTACAAAAGCCTTCTATAAGGTTGTATAACTATTAAGTCTACTTGCCATATTTCACTGAAAGGCAGACAAAACAAAATAAAAAATAAAACTCTTGTGCTTTTGGTTACGATTGTATTAATTCTATAGATCAATTAACATATTTAAAATAGGGATTCATAACCATGATAGAACTCTCCATTTACTGAGTTCTTCTTTGTCTCCTCTCACTAAGGCTTCTGGTTTTGTGTATGCGGTCCTGAACACCTTCTGTTGGATTTATTGCTAGGCCCTGGAATACTTTCTGATAGTATTATAAATGGTATTTCTAACTGTTGATGCTGCATAGAAATACAAATAAGCTTTGTAAACTGAATTGGTAACCAGCTACCTTACTTACCTTCTCTAAATTCTAATTATTTAGATTTTTCCATGAAAATTAACTGGGGCTGGGGATTTAGCTCAGCGGCAAAAGCGCCTGCCTGGCAAGCGCAAGGTCGTGAGTTCGGTTCCCGGTATCGGAGAAAACCCCCCCCCCCCAAAAAAAAAAAAAAGAAAATTAACCTAAGTTAGTTCAAAGTTCCTTTATCCTTTCACATCACTATATATTTTACTTATTTTTCTGGAGTTACTCTATCAGCTAGGATCTTTATTAACTCATGGAGTAGGTAGTGACAACACACACCCTTGCCTTCTTCTCAAATTGCAGACCAATTACCCTTTCTTTGCTTTTGTCATCACACTTTGAGGTGTGTTATTGCCTGCATGAAAGCTTAGAATGGTGACGTTTTCTGAGCCAGCTTAATCTTCTTTCCAACTCCTTTGAGTTACGCTCATTTTGTATTTTTCATCCTTTTGATTTTGGGGCTCATGTACTGTTTTTATCTCTGTAGAGGAAACCACAATTAGATTGAACTATTTTAATGGCTCACGTCTTTGGACCTTACACTGTACAAATTCTCTAAGTTTCTATTAAATCTTGCCCACGGAGTCATTTGTTATTGTGCTTTTGAACTCTCCAGTTTCCGTTTGATTTGTATTTAAGTAGGCAGTGTCTCTATGTTTTAGATTATCTGCGGAGATGTTTAACTTCTTTTCTCATCTTGATCCTAGAACACAGTGCCCTCATAATTTCTGCGCTTGCATCTTTGGAGCCTCACGCTGTTCTTGCTGTTTCCGAGTCTGCTATTTTTGCTGGTGTCAGTTTCTCTGTCTATGGCTCCTCATCCAATGTGCTCTCTTCCGTGACATGCTGGAGATTCTATTCGACAAGCACACTGTAGAAATAGTTTGAGGCCTAAGGGTGATCTTCCCCACAGAGATGACTTCTGCTTGCTCCTGCCGTGAGAAGGAGGGGAGCAGTAGACCGGGAAGACAGGAGCCTCTCTGAAGACTGGAAACCCCTGCTGTGTGCTGACTCGGTGCAGGGCAGAGGTGACCTGGTGCCTCCCACCCTAGCGCGTGGCTCTCAGAGGGAGCAGAAGAGAGGGGCAAATGGGCTCCACACCTGACTGGCCCAACACTGTGCACCGCGCCTCGAACACCCCAGAACCCGTGATCCAGTTCTCATTTTCCTCTTCTGCTCTGGTGAATGCCCTGAGACACAAGGGTCCCCGATTGCCAGCTTTGTCTCTAGATTTGCAATTGCCTTTGGTCCCTTAGTTCTCAGGATCCCGTTAGCTCTCCCTTCCATGGACTGATGTTTCTTTTGTTTATCTGCATGGTTTTTTTTTTTTTTTTTTTTTTTTTTAAGCTGTGTTCAAGGGCCTGCCTTAACTAGCTCAGTATTATATGAAGTCTATGTTGTTCACATCAAATAGGAATTGGGGTGAGGTCTCTGCTCGGGAACTTCAGAATTGATTTGACCTTCAGCAGCCCACTCACAGACTGAACCCGCACCTGTCATGTGACAAAAGACTTGAGCATGGTTACTTGGACCCTTGGGCCTCAGCTTCTATACGTGGATTTAGGATGAGAGTGCCTTAGTCAGCTGTCCATCACTTTGACAAATACCTAAGACAATCAGTTCATAAGAAGAAATGGGTTATTCAGGTTCTCAGCTCCAGTCCATGTTTTTAACCTCTGGGGAGGATTCCAGATGAAAATGACAGAGTGTGTCCACCTCCTGACCCATGAGGTGTGCAGGGTACACTCCACAGTACCCTAAAGGTTCCAGCCTCCCAAAGCTCAGGCCGGGAAGCAAAGCTCTAACACATGGGTTCTGGGGAGACATCCCTGATTCTAGCTCTAGCAAGAAGCTGCAAGAGAGGGGTGACGGGAATCTGTGACAGTTGCTTTTTCTTTTCATAGAGCTAAGAGAATTTGGAATATGGTAAGTGCTTGTAAGTATTCCAGGGTAGAAAAAGGTAACAAAAATGGAAGGAAAGCGTGCAAGCAATTTGCTAAAGTTTTAGGGGGATTGTTTTCAGTTTGTTTTTGGAGACAGGGTCTTGCTGTGTAGTTCAGACTGGCATTGAAGTCACTATGTAGCCAGTCTGGCCCAAACTTGTGGTAACCCTCCTGCCTCAGCCTCCCAATTGGTAGGATTACAAGACTGTGCCATCTCATCCAGCTCTAGAGTTTTGTTTTAATCTGTGGTGGCCTTCATGACCATCAGAACTATCAGGCCAAACTGGTGCGGTCTTGCCTTGTCTGAGATCAGAGAAAAAGTAGAAGCTGGAGGCCAGCCTGGCTTGCAGAACCCATGGAAGCTTTATTAGTTCGCGGTGCTCGCCAGCCTTGGAAGCAAGAAAATACAGCACTTCAGCCCCATTCAAAGAAGCACAGGTGACATCGGTTCCTATTAATACAGAAGTCCCCACCTCGTCTCCCTTCACACCACTGCCCAAGAGTTCCCTCTCTGCAACAACCAAAAGGGTGGAAGTCAGCTTTTGGGGAGAAACACAGGAGAAGTCAGTTCCCAGTGAGGGAGCTGCACTCCCTGTTTGCTTGGCAGTTTCTTGCTGCTTTAACAACTACATTGTTCTTTCTGCAGCTCCTTAACATCTGTGATCATCGGACCCCACTTCCTGATTCTGTGACCTCACACAAAGCGCACAGCATAGCTAAGGGAGAACAGCGAGGGGTGCGGGCTGGGGCTTGGTGACTCTTTAACTTAACTGTGGAGACCCTAGAGGGCTGAGACTGAGTCCTCATCTTGTGGGACAAAGGGCCCAAATGGAGGGCAAAATAAGTTTGCCTCCATCACCCAGGCTCTTGACTGGACTGTTTGCGTCTGTGTTGACTGCATATCTGTGTTTAACCCTTCCTTCCAGAGTCAGGGTGGCTTCTGACATTCTAGCCATAAAGTAAGTGGCATGTTCCCATGTCACATCCCTGCAGGAAACTAGCTAGCCACTGTCACTATGAGTGCATTCATTTCATGGAGCATCATTACTTTCCTTATGTAACATAGATTGCACCTCTTCTTTGTGCTTTATTCTAATTCCAGACCAAGGACAATATGATTTTGGAAAATGTCATGGTTTTGTCACGGCTATCAGGACAGTACTGCATGGTCATAAATTACTGCAGTGTCATAGAATCTGCACATCTAAATTTTTCTTTTTTCTCAAAACAGTGCATTTCAAAAGCAGCCAGGAAGGGGGTGTGTTTTCTTTTTTCAGCACTAGAAAGGAAAAATACATGCCTATTCCAAAATATATGCTTGTAAAAGGCCAATAGAGAGAAATTTACAAAGTAAATGAAAGATTTTTTTCCAGCTGATTTCACTGGTAAAGATAAAGGAACACTGCCACCATTAATAGCTCAGGGAATAAAGCTCTGAGCTTCTCATATTTCCAGGGTCTCTTTGTTCTAAGGGGAAGAAAGTCTGCCAATGAACAGGGGTGTATTTGCACTCTTCTCCTTAATAATGAAGAGGAAAGGGTGGTCGGCGAGGAAATTTACCTCCTGCACCAACATGGCAAAGACAGCGACGCCTGCTGTGGCAGCCGCTGCTTCTGTTCCCTCTTCGTTCACATCTATAAAGGCCTTGTGGATAATTTTTGATACAGAAAGATCTCTAGCTCCTGATATGCCAGACAGATCGGCCTTGCTACTATTAAAGAGATCCTGCACCCCGAGGTTGGTGAGATTGTTGTTAAGATTGTAGCTCTCTTCCACTTTAAACCGAGGCAAATGGACGTTGACCTCCATGGTCTCCAGATTCTCAGTCCACTCACGCAGTTTTTCCAAAGTCAACTGTTTCTCAATCTGGAATTAAGATGAAGCAAAAATAAGTGAATTCAATGTTACATAAGGAAAGTAATAAAGCACTCTTTAAATGTGTGGACTCACAATAATAATTGCTATTAGTTTTCCTTCATGCTTTGTGGCAAAACAGATTCCATTTGGAGGGTTTCATTCCTGTGGCCATTGGTAAAAGAGGACAGAACTATGTTCTGTGTCACCAAGTACAGGGACTTTGGACATTAAGTCTATCATCTGTCCATCCAATGATCCACCCACTGGTTCATTGATGCATCCATGCATCCATCCATCCACCTATCCGTTCACCCACCTAGCCATCCACTCATCCATCCGTCCACCCTCCTGTCTATTAATGCATCCACCCATCCTTAGCCTTCCATCCCTCCATGCATTCAGGACTAAGCCCTTACCCCACTGGATTAGTGCCATAGGCCATGCCGACTTTCACTACCCTAATTAGTTGAGTGGTGTGAAGGAAAATTTAAACGGCTTTTGTTTGTTCTGAATCCCAGTGAAAATGGTAATTGTTAATCTCACTGCAGCTAAGGAAACCTCTCATCACTTTAGCTCCTTAGTAAAACTGTAAATGGCAGATACATACTAGACTGAGTTCCTCCTTTCAAATGGGAAAATAATTGAACCCTCCTTGCTAGAGCATTGCTGGAGCATTAGATGAATTGATGTGTATAAAACACTTGGTACATGATAAGTGCTACACAATATCAGGTATTATCAGTATCATTACTATTGTTATTTGGACTAGAACAGAACCATCATTTCATTGTTCTACTGACTTGATACCGTCTTACACAAAAGTAGAGATTTTTACTTTGGAATGAGAGAAAAGACTGATATACAAAAACAACTGGAACAGCGAATACATTGATGTTAACACAGGTATTTCATGCAAATGACTAACATTAAACCCCTTCCCATAGAAAGACTGGCTGGGGAGGAGAGAAAGCAAAAGCACACTATAGGTGAGGAACACTAAGGAAAACGGTAATCGTCACAATTTTGTCTAGATTGAACCGTGAAATGAGATATCCTAGTCTGTAAAGGACACATAATGGAAGCAACATGCAAAGCTCATATTAGGAAATAGGCCTACACCTGATGCTGACTGGGTACGTGAGTCTTTTGCTATGACATACCTATTGGACCTTTAATTCACAATTCATGTGAATTGTAGTGAGAATGAACAATGTAATAATAAGAATGTGAAAGAAATCATGCTTTGTGGCAAAACAGATGTGAGACTGTAGACTATGTGAGACTCTCTCTGTGTGAGACTGTAGACTCACATAATTTGGATTTGTAAATTTTTTTTATCTTGGTAAAACAATCCTTGTTGTACCACACTTTAAAGTTATTTCAGGGGCTGGGGATTTAGCTCAGTGGCACAGGGCCTGCCTGGCAAGCACAAGGTTGTGAGTTCGATTTCTGGTACTGGAAAAAAACAAACAAACAAACAAACAAAATAAAGTTATTTCAAAAGACTTTGCATGAACTGCCACTATCCGATGTTACATTTTGTTTAAATCTTCAAATGTTGCTTATCCTGATGATGCACTGAAAGTGCATCTGGAAAAAATAAATTTAGGTCATCAGGGCTAAAGGTTCAGCTCAGGGGTAGAGCACTTGCTTGGCATGCACAGGATCCTGGGTTTTATCTGTACCATCACAAAATAATGCTAAGGATAATCATTATCACCATCAGCATTAGCATCATAAGCAGTAGCAGCAGCAGCAGCATCTGTCTTGAAACATACAGACAAATCAAAGGAAACCCAGACCACAAGGCTGGGATGCCAGTACCTCCTCCAGACCTGTGGTTTCATCCTCGATGTCATCTGGCAGCAGAATAATCATGCTGACCTCTGCATCTTGGTAAGGCAACTCTAGCACCTGGCACTTAAGGTCTTCAATGTAACCATATGGAAATTTTGCCTTCTGAAACATCATCTTCACTGTTTTTGTGTCTTTCTGAATAGATAAAAAAAAATCATTGAAATGATACTTTCACATTCTTTTAGAGCAAAGACTAATTTTGAGGCTAAGCTAGGCTGTAACTCAGTGGTCCAGCATATGTTTAGCCTGGGGGAGGCCATGGGTTCCCCACCATAAGAACAAGAAGGAGAAAGAGAAGGAGCAAGAGAAGAAGGAGGAAGTGGAGAAGGAGGAACAATAGCAGGAGCAGGAGAAAATAAGAGAAAGAAGGAAAAAAGAGAAAGGGAAGAGGGAAAGAGGAAGAAAGAATAGAGGAGGCAAAAATGAAGAATAAGGAGAAAAATGGAGGAAAAGGAGAAAGGGAGGAGGAGGAAGGAGAGGGAAGGAGGATGAATAACTTTCGGCAGTTCCATCAGCTCACCTTATTCAATCTGAATGGCACATCGGTTGTGTCATTTTTCAGGAATTTCTCCTGCCACTTTCCCTTGAAGTAGATGGCATTCACTAGCACAAGTTTACTCGTGTCATCAAGCACACCTGGAGCCAACAGTTCTGGAATTTTCCCTGAAAAGATAAAGTGAAGTTTTTCAAAGCACCGCTTTGGAATTCCAGATGATCTTGTAGTATGGAATGCGATTCAAATGTATGTTTTCAACTATGTCAAATTAGGAAAGCCTGACTGGGTTGTCTCTGCTTTGTATAAATGAATTTGTGATCCAGACCATGATGAATAAAAGAAAGAAAACAAGCCACTGCAGGCTTTGGGAATGTAGCTTAGTGGTAGAAAGTTTGCTTAGCAGGTAGAAGGCTCTGGGTTCCATCCCCAACACTATAGAAGAAAGAGAAAAGCCCTGAAAACAAGCCAGATGTGCTCAAAGACTAAACACAGAAGAATTCTCTTTCCCTGGGTTGTGTAAAACCAATGAACATTATTCTGTGGATGGTCTTTGTTATGGTTTGTGCCTAGATGGCCCCCAAAGCTTCACACAGTCATGGGTGGGACCTTTTCAGAGGTGGCTGGACCTAGAGCGTGTGATGCTGGGATTATGGGTGTGAGATGGCTAAATTGGTTCACTGATTGGCTTGGTACCCACCCTAAGGAGGGTACCCACCTAGAATATAGAGGGGCCAATAGAAGCTTACTTGCTTGCGTCTCCCCTTTTTTGCTTGCCGTGAACTGTTTCTGCAATGCCCCTCTGCTATGTGCCCCTGCATTGGAGCCTGCTGATTATGGACTGAAACCTCTACAAACAGTGAGCTGAGATAAACTTTTCCTCCTTGAACTGTAGGTGTTGGGTATTTTTGTTTCAGCAATAGAAGAGTAATGAAGGCAGTCATTCTTTTACAAGAAAAAAATTTCCTCCAAGAAATGGCTTGAGTTACTTATAAGGAAGTCACCTCTGTAAATCTGTGCAGGAAATGCGAAATGACTTTAACAAATAACCAAAAGGTGGCACAGTTTCTCCACTGCTCCAAAGGCTCCCCCGTAACCACACGTACTGCCCAGGACAGTTTCTGCAAGGTGGGGCAGTTACTGTCTGTGTGGGTTGACTCACATGACAATTATGTTAGGAGACAGAGACGTTAAGTAGATAAATTGCCCCTGACAGTGAGTCAGTCCCACCCGCCACGTGGAATGCCCTGGACAAGATGTTGGCAGAGAATGTGACTGTAGCAGTCAGAGAATTCAAACTTTGTGTGTCCTAAGAAATTCTGTATTCCATTTCTACTGGGGGCAGGCATTTGGGTCCTATTTATTCTGCATTTAGTTTTGGTTCCAACTTTCAAATGTACTTTGCCAGAATTTAGGGGAAGAAGGTTAAGGTATGCATTTCCCTTTTTCACATAAGGGACAGAGTTCACAGGAGGGCAGCACCTGAGGGTAAATGTGCACAGATCAGGGAGTGGGAGAATCGGGGAGGAGACAGAACAGGATGTGGGTAGGGAAATGCACAGAGAGAAGAACCTGTGCCTAGTCTGCCATGGTTTAGGTCCATGTCCCTCAAAGGCCTATGGATTGACCCACATCCGTTTCACTAGCGGGAATAGGGAGAGCTCTGAAGAGATGGCATGGTGGGAGGTCCCTGGGGGTGTGACCTTGAAGAGGACTGTGGGACGCCTATGTCTTCCTTTCCCTCTTCACATCTGCCCATGATAGGAAGGGTCCTCCCTCCTCTGCCATGCTCTTCCCATGCTCTTCCACTGTGATGCCCTGTGCTGCCACAAGCCCAGGTCAACAGGGCCGAGTGACCATGGACTGAAATGCCTAAAACCGTGAGCCAAAGTGAGTCTTTTCACTCTAGAAGTTGATTATCTCTGGATAGTCATGGAAAACTCACCAGTACAGGTTCCAGATGACCAGCCTCTTACCTCCTGTCTGTTCTTTAACCCACTTGTTTATTGTCTTTCTTGTGTTTTCAGTGTCATTCTGAAAATCCACACTGACCATTTCTGCACCATACATTTTCTTAGTTGACCCCAAGAACTCCTATTAAAAATAAAGTCCCAGAGCAACTTCTATTCATATAGTAGTATTCAGGGCATAAAATCTTGATAAGTAACAGAAATTGTCTAAAATATTTCATGCAAGTATAAGACAAAAGAATTTTAAGCCTTATACTTTTTTAAACTATGATCAAAAACATTTAGCATTAAATCTACTATCTTGACTGTTTTGAGGGGTACAGTTCAGTCATGGTAAGTTTAGCTTTTATACTTTGTGTGTTATATAAAGTATACCAGTTCTTTTTGAACACTGGGCTAACATTTTCCCAAAATAAGCAAATACTCATTGTACTTTGAACTAGGTCACAGGATTCACTCTTGCTTTCCTGAAACTTCCAAGACTGGAGAACACAGCAGCACATGGCTGCACATCCAGCTGTCAGGAAGCAGAGGCACTAGGATGGTAAGTTCAAGTCCAGCCTGGGCAATTAAGTGAAACCTTGTCTCACACTAGGAAGTAGCTCGGCGATGGAGCACTTGCCTAGCATGCACAAGGTCCTGGGTTCAAACCCAGCAGGGTAAAGGAACAACAAAATGATACATACATTTTTTTCTCTAAAGACCGCTTTTTACTGTAAAGACCATAAACAAAGCCAGCCCATTCATTAACGGGCATGCTGCCTGCCATATGCTTTCCTTCCGTATTATTTTTATGACTATTAAGAGGCATTGAAGTTCACTTCTAGGACTTCCTTGTGCTGAAAAATAATCTACACTATGTTGTAGGCTTTATCACATGAAGTGCAGAGTACTTACTGGGAGGATATCATAGGTTTTTTCTCCATACAATCTGTTAGCAAGTTTCAGAGTATAGGAGGCTCCACATTTATTCAGTTTTGCATTCAGGCTCTGAAAACTTGAATGAACATCCTTCACCTTATCAAAATGAAGACCCTAAAATAAAGAAAATATTTCTTTCAACAACCATTACTTTTGAAATTATAGCAAAATTCCTTGGTATTTGATTCTACCAAATTCAAGTACCGTATTTTTATTTCTAATTATTGATTCCCTAGCTCAATGCTATATTAATTTGTCCTTGAAGGAGAAATATCAAGGAGTAGAGAATTTATGACTTGGTGAAATATATTAAGTGTAACATTAGGAACTTCATTTTAGAACACTTTTAGTGGGGCTGGGGATTTAGCTCAGCAGCACAGCGCTTGCCTGGCAAGCATGAAGTCGTGAGTTTGATTCCCAGTACCAGAAAAAGAAAATTAAACAAAACTAAACAAAAAAAGAGAACACTTTTAGTAATAATTATAGTTCCAGAAATGTGAGTGAACATATTAACCACTCTCATGTGTAGAACCATAATTATGTCTCCTCCCCCCCCAAATCAAAATGGTATATTTATATTCTGTACCATATCTAATTTTATTGAAATTTCTCATAAGTAAACAGTAAAAAATAAAAATCATCCCTGATGCTGGACCATGAAGATACTACAGATCGTGGACATTTCTTTGATTCCTTTACCAGCATCCCTGACTCATTGTTTAAAATAGTGTCTCTGAGGTGAGCATTCCAGCGGACGCTTAATTCCCTGTGTATCAGCTAAAAGCCAAGAGGCCTTCATGGTTTTATGAGACTTGGGCTACTTCCTGCTTTGGAGACACAGAAAACTAAACCACCCAGCATCCAAAGTCCACATTTCTGGGAGATATGGAATGTTCGATTGTCCTTGCAATCCACCCGTATTAATGAAGGTGGGGAGGGAGGGAGAAAAGTACTTAAAATTCTTCTTTGCAGAATTATAAACTTCCTGGAACCCCTCTAAATAGGAGTTGCGATAACCCTGCAAGAAGAACCAACAGCATCTGTGGTTAAAAACAAGTGGATTTTGTATAAAACCTTCCACACTTGTGCATCTGCACACTGGGCACGGGGCTTTGCAGCTTGAGAACCTGAGCCCAGGGCTGCACCTTCCTGGTGAGCAGGTGCAGTGACATGCATGAGGAATGCTGGAAAACCCTCCGGTGTTACCCTCCTTCCTAGGCCTCCGGTGCAAGCTAGTGTTCCCTGCTGGGAATCAGAGACTGCAGACTGTCAGACACCAAAATGTGTCTGTGCCTCCTGATGAAGGTAAGAAAGCACTGCTGTCCTTGTCTCCACTCCCCAAGAGTGACCCGCCACCTTCCCCGGGACCTGATCCTGCTCCCAAGCTCACAGCCTCCTCCTCCCTTCCCTCTGCAGGGATCTCCCATGAGCCCTTGGGGCCACGCTGAGGCAGGCACAGCGTCGGGCCCGGGATACTGAACCTCATAGTGACCAGCGCCACCACCTGCTCCACTGTGGTGCCTTCCCATGTCCACTACCCTCCTGCTCAAAGGCAAGGCTACAAATTAGACATCATGCATGATGAACAGGTAGTCACCATGCACAAAGCTCAACCAAGGAGCAGCAGCTCAGGGGGACGCGGGGCTTACAGGGGCTGTCAAAGTCTCCCTGGGACAGAAGCAGCACTCTGCAAGGAGCCTGCTGGCTTGGTGCCTGCTGTACCTTCAGCCAAACGAAAACCAGTGCCTGGTACATATTATGTGCTCAGGGAAGATCCAGACACCAACAAGAGCCTGCAGGAAACAGGACCATGTGTGGGCTTTTCTCAGCCTCTGACCTCTCATGGACAGTGGTCAGGCACCGTCCAACAGTGTCCGCAAAGCACACTGCAAGAGCTCAAAGGCGTCAACTGCGACTGCACATCAGGGATGGGGATACAGCTCAGCGGCATAAGCACCTGCCTGGCAACTGCACATTAGCGGGGAGCAGGCAACGAGGGGCCGCTTCTGCTGACCTTGGAGATCTGCGCTGCGGTGTCGCCTCGGGACCCCAGGAAGATCATGCCCATGGCCGATGAGATGCTGTAGGGCGAGATGAAGATGTTCCCCGCGCGGTTGCCTTTACACAGGAGGACGAAAATGTCCAGGGCGAAAGCGGCATTTGCTGTGCTCAGCTGCTCCATGGTGAAGGCTGCCACACAGAGCGGGGAACTCGGTGACTCCCCGCCCACGCTCCCACATGGGGCAGCCCCGGGCTTTCCCTGCACCTTTTTCGAACGGTGCCAACCCACTGGACACACCCTGAACTTGCACTTTATCCTCTTTTCTCCAAGAGGACAAGCAGGCTCTCCCCGGGCCACAAAGGTGCGAGCACACCTGCTGGTTGCCTTGGCACATGCCCCAAGCCTCCTAAATGTGGAAGCAAACTTGATTCTGTCCCCTTGGTCCCAGGCACTCATTCATTCAAGCAAGGAACCCCCTGCCTATGTTTACCTGAAGCCGAGCACTTCTGCTAGCAAATCAGAGCACCCCACTCTACCAGAAAATCCTGGCGACCTACTGTGCCATCAAATCAATTCCGGCATGGGTAGAACTGTAGTCAGTATGGCTGTTTTCCTTTTGAGGACTCAGCAGAGGCTGCTGAGAAGTCAAGCAGCTGTGTTGGAGGTGCTGTAGGAGGGCCAGGGTCACAGCCCAGCTGCCCTGGTAGCGGTGCCAGGCAGGGAGGTGGGCCCAGGGTCCTCTGTCCCTGGCACAGACAGGCAGTGTCTGCAGCTGAGCACCACAGCCCCACCTGCATCTCCTTCCCAGAGCCTTAGTTTCCCCAAGTGCACTACAGGCAAGGAACGGGGTGTGCGTTGCTGTGCTGAGTGCCAGGCCGGAGGGCTGGGAGGGAAGAGAGAATCCAGCTGTGTGGTGGTGCTGAGGACCCTGGTCGGCCCCGCCCCCGTGGGGAGCCCTCTCGGAGGTGCCTCCAAACCCTTACCTGCTGCTCTGAGCTGGGCTGTCCTAGCCTCAAGACTGAGGAAGTGCTTGAGCCCACACCCTTATAGCTCTAGAAGGGAGGGAGTGTCACAGGGACAGGACGGGCTGCCTAAGGGCAGGGCCCTGGCCCTTCCACGTGACTCCATGGGGCCTTTCTCTGGTTGCTGCAGAAAAGCAGAGGTTTGCCAGGCCTCTGCACAGTGCCCTCTTCAGGGCACTGGGTCCTTCTCAGTTGTAAGTCTGCAGAGGGCCCTAATATACTATGTCTTACTAAGTAAGGTGTGCATGGCTGATACTGTGTGGCCCCTTGGGCATGATTTCCTTTTGAACCCATTTATGTTAGGGCTGAGGGAGCGAATCTGGGGCCCCTTGCATGGGAAAAAGAGGGACTACCAGGGTGAAGTAAAACAAAAGTGCTTCAAGCACCGGCTTTGGTGTCACCATCTCTCAGGTGGCAAAGTGGCTCAGCCCTAGAATCTCCGTCTCAAAGACTGCATTGCAGTCTTTCTCCCCACATTATCCTGGTAAAGTGATTAGTGTGGAATGGTACTGCATAAATATTTTTGTGAGGTCCTTGTGTGCCCCTCAAATGTCCACATAAATTATTTCACCAAAACTTCACTGTCCTTGAGGTATAAAGTAATCCTGTGTTCACAAAACTACTTTCTTGCAAATCTCATGCAAAAGAGACAAAGGGAAAAGCCTATTGTTTTGTTAGCCGTGACCACACCATGTGAATGGGTTGGTGGAGTTTTCTTTTGTTTTGTTTTTTTGACCTTGATAATTCAACTTGTTTCTAATGAAAACAAGATCACAATAATGAGTAATAAAAAACACTCTCCATAGTTTGATAGGCTGTTGAGCCTATCACTAAAATTGCATATTGTTTTGCAGTTTTATTGCAATACAAGAAAACCAGCCAGTCCTCGTTAGGTCCCTGTGGCTTAATCAGATCTGATAACTGTGCCAGGTTTCCCGCAGAAGGCAAGAACCACCTCAGTGTCAGAATCTCAGTGTCCATATCCACGTCAGTCTCAGTCGGAGGATGGCCATTCAAGGACCAGATGGGAGCCACAGCCCTGAGGAGTCCCTGCTGTGGATTCCTACAGCCACCAGGAGCAATCTCTGAGTCCTGGCCCCAGACATCCAAAGAAGGAGGAAAGCATTGCCTGGGAGTCACATGGTCCCCTGGTAAAGTGGCTGTTTCGTCATGGACCCTACTGGTCTGTCGGTGTCTCAGCTGGCCTGATCTTGTATGTCAAGCATTTTTAGGTTTTTTTTTTTTTTTTTTGGTACCAGGAATCGAACTGAGGACCTTATGCTTGCCAGGCAGGCGTTTATGCCACTGAGCTACCTCCCCGGCCCCTGATCTTGAATGAACTTGTTCCCTTTAATAGTGGAGCACTGTTGAGCCTATTTGAACTCATTTGTTCGGCTGTAACAGAACAATGAACGCTGATGAGTGAATAAACCACAGAAGATGTGCTTCTCACAGCCCTGGAGACTGGGGAGCCCAGGAGCAAGGCACCCACAGATCTCCTCCCAGGATGGTGCCTAGGCACAGCTTCCTCAGTGCTGGGAGGGTGAACTGAGCTGAGTTTGAGGCCTCTTTCTTAAGGGCCTTCCTCCCATTCACAGGAATAGCCTTCTTGGACAACTGCCTTCTTTCAGGGTCCTACCTCTTACAGCTTTTACCTCAAGGACTCAGTTTCCACATGAATATGGGGGCAGGGTGCACAGACAGTGAAACTCAGCATCCCAGCCCTGGTTACCCAGATTCGTGTGCGCTATGGTTTGGAGACAGTCTGAGTGTCACCTCCAAGGGTTTCTGTGCTGAAATATGACTCCCCCCATCCCGGCTCCATTGTGTAGAAACTTGATCTGAATAAGAAGTTTGGGGGTAAGAGTTTAAAAATGGGTTAGGACAGAAAAGCCATCAAGATGGAGCCCCCATGACTCATTACTAGAGAAGAGAGAGCGAGAGAGTGAGAGACCCTCAGCAAGAGCAAGCGAGAGAGAGAGAGTAAGCTAAATGAAGTGCCTGTCCCATGCCACGTGATGTCCTCTGCAGCACTGGGACTCTGGCAGCACAAAAGCTACCATCATTATCATTACCATTCCTGGCGATCCCCCTGAGCCTCCAGAACTGTGAGTTAAATAAACCTCTTTTCTTTATAAAGTTACCCAGCTGCAAGCACTTATCATAGTAACACAAAACAGACTGCTAGGATGCCCTCATGTATAAACTACTCGAGTTGCATTCCAGCAGGCCCAAGAGCTCCCAGCACTGTATGTTGGAAGCACATAGCATGTTTGACCTTCCCAGTTCACAGCTCTGGGGGAGTTGCCTCAGCATGCATCACGACCTAGAGCTTGTCTCTATCTGATTTGGATACTGGGGTATTTATTAAAATTATTATAGTTATGTTATATATTATAAATACTATAGTCATCACGCCTACTACCATTATGAACCTGAAAAACCTGACACACCATGCAGTCCATCATCGAATGGTGGGAAAGGCTCACAACAGACACTCTCAGTGAAAATGGTGGCGACAGGCCACCATGAAGCAGTAGCAGGTCCCACTGAGTTCCAAACCCCAGCATCACAAACAACATTATGCCTTGTGCTGCAAAACAATATGGGACTGATGTCCACCTTTTGGATGTGCTGTCCAAGGTGTTGGCTGTCCAAGTCTGCAGGGGACCTCACCCCAACTGTCACACGCATCTCTGTAGCCAGTGTGTTGGTCATCCCGGGCCTGCGCCTTCCTAGGCTGGCACTGTGTATGGGTCTTGGGGTACCCCCACAGCATCAGTGGGCAAGATCCTAGTGAAGACTCTGCGGTGGCCCCAGTCCCATGGCACCCATGGACACCAGCCTGGTGATCCCGTCTCTGCCCGGGGCCATGGCTGCCCAGGGCTGCCTTTGAAATCGAAGTGGAATCAGTCACATGCTGTAGTCCGTTCCTCTGCTCACCCGCAGTGTGGGCATCACGCAGATGCCATCAGGGCTTATCAGGACTGAGCCAGGGAGAGCTGCGCCAGGGCATGAGACCAGAGGCAAGTCCTGTGGCACCCAGGGCAGCCAGCCCCAGGGCTCTTGTCACCCTGGGCAGCTCTGTGGAAACTCTTCTGCCCATCTGGCCTTGCACTTTGGACCCCTGGAGGGAATGGCAGCACCAGTGGGCTCTGAGATGCCCTTGGAGTCATTCTCTCATCGTCTCAGTACCCCCTTGCTGGCTTCTAGTCACACTAGTCTCCTTGTGGAATGTCAGTGTGGGCCACACCTGAGTGTCTCGCGGGCATCTTCTGCCAAATCTCCTAAGTTTCACCTTCCTTTTGATGACAAGCTCCATCTTTATTGCCCTCCTCTGCCATTTAACAATAAGGAATCAAACCCTGTCAGTACTCAGCTCAGGCATTTCATCCACCAAGAATCCTCCCTCCATGAGGTTAACTTCTGCCATCTGCGAAGCACTGTGACAAGGACACAATTCTGTGGAGTCCTGAACCCCGTAGTGGGACACTATCTCAAAACCAAAACCAAAACAATAAACAAAACAGGTAGTTTTTGTGTGCCCTGGCCCATATTTAGTATGGTAAAGGAAAATATGAAAATAACTTGATAATTTGCCTACATAATTACTGAACGCTTTTTGTCTTCCTTTTTCTTTTTTGCTGTGCTGGGGAAGGAAAGTGGGCCTCACACATTCTAGGCAGGTGCTCCCCACTGAGCCGTACCCCTGTCCTCTATGTTTGATTTGAATTATATATTTTTAAACATTAAAACAGCAGGAAAACACAGTCACTCTGCAGATAGTTCTTTTTTTGAAGTTAGTAGTCTGAGGATTTGGGTGAAGCAGTACCTTCCCAGCAGGGACTAATTTGGGAGCCTGAGCTTTCCCTGTCAGTAACAAGACATGCCAAAGAAGGTCCGCAATAGCTTATATTTTCCTGTCTCGGGCAGCACATTTACCCAAGTCACAGCAGCAGACCAGGTGATCCCTCAGGGTATCTGCTAGTCCTCCTAGTCTCTGCTAGACTAAAACAATAGTCAGCTGCCACACAGCTCTGTCCACCAGGGGGCAGGCGTGCCTCACTGCCGACTGAGCACCAGTCCTTCAGCAGAGAAGGCAGAATGCCAGGCCCTTGCTGGGATTTTCTTCGCTATTCTATCAAACTGGCTTCCCTTACTAGGGCAGCTAAACTTGTACTATTAACTTTATCTTGAAAATTTACATGTAAATAGTTACAATTTTCCTCTGGCTTTGCCTCCTTCTCCTCCCCTACCCCCCAATTGCCCTTGGATTACCCCCTCTCATCCTGGGCTCCCTGTCCCTCCATTTGGGTCCTTCTTAGTCCAAGTTGCTTCCTCTTTGTTTTGTCGCAAGGTCATCATCAGAAATTGGTGGTCACCCTCAAACATGGCATCACGAGGAAGGGGCTTTGGCCCAGTTCTCTACTGCTACGTCTCAGCACCCAGATAATCAGGAGACACAGGGTAAATGTTTGATGAATTGTGTTGAATACATAGTGAAGCTTTTAGCCCAGGACAAACCAAGCCTTGTGGACAGATGATATGTGCTGCTCATCTAAATTTCTTGACAAACAGTACATGGAAGTAATTTCAAACTGGACTAATGGATAACTGAAATGTAAATGGAAGCAGAGCCCAAGGGAGAAGTGCTATTAACTGGAATGTACCATGGGGGGTAACCCCTATAGCTTTGCTACAGTGGGAAAATCTGCCTTGAGCATTCACCACTCAGAAAGATGCACTTATGGAAAACCAGCGCCTGGCTTGGAGCAGCCACTGCTGAGGTCTCTGGTCAGTGTCGCTTCCACGCATCCACAAGCATGGGAAATGTCTTCTCGAACCTCTTCAGGGGCCTTTTTGGCAAAAAAGAAATGCGCATTCTCATGGCGGGCTTGGAAGCTTGGTGAAATTGTGACCACCACTCCTACCATAGGTTTCAGTGTGGAGACTGTTGAATACGAAAACATCAGCTTCACCGTGTGGGATGTGGGTGGCCAGAACAAGATCCGGCCACTGTGGCGCCACTACTTCCAGAACACCCAAGGCTTGATCTTTGTGGTAGATAGCAATG